TTATGGAATCAGATACTCCATCAGGTGATCAGAAGGTGGCTCATTATCATTTGAGGCAGGGGAGCATGCAAGGTTAGGTAGATGAGGAATAGATGGGTCAGATGCGGGAAGCGGAGGTTGATCAATCGCACTTGTGCTCAAAGTGGCTGCTAGTCGTGCAAATGCTGCGCAGGTAGCTGCACCTCGTGTCTGGTGCACACGCAGGCCTGCAACACTGAAGAAATCATCACCACATTGTGGGCATCAGAATCGATTTGTACTACACCTGGCTAGTGTATATCGAGAGCAACGATGTCGTTCTGTACGGTTGCGAGCATGTCGTCGGCGCAGATCTCAAACCCCTGCAGGGGGTGTGGTATTCATGCTGTTCCAGGACAGACGAGGCCACTGTCTTGGAGGCGGCGGCGAAGATGGGGAACATCTACACCGAAGAGGCATCTGTAACGATCGATCTGACGCTGGATGTCTCTGCCGACGGGGCATTTGTGACGACTGATATGAGCATGAATGCTGATGATGAGGTCGATGAAGAAGGGGAGGTATGCGAGGTGGAGGAGGAGGCAGAAGACGAAGAGGAACATAAAGAAGAGGAGGCAGATGACTGAGGGGATGATGTAGTAGTAGATGCTGGCAGGGGAGTTGGTGGTGATGATGGTGGGGCCGGTGGTGTGGTAGTGGTGAGTATGGACGAGGTGGGGGTGGTGAAGGAGACGGCGATGGTGGCGACACAATTTCAGCAGTCATCGTCTCCGCATTACCAGGATACAGGCCTTCATCCCCTACTGCCATTGCAACAACGTTTACATTATTTGTTGCGGCTGGCATGGTCTCCCGCTGCGTCGGCGTATCCACATGATCGTTTGCCATTTCAGCAGGAATAACGGGAGAAGTTGGGCCCACTGCGTTTGATTGTGAGGGGGGCTGATGCTGCTGCTGCCTGTGGCCAGGATTGGTGTTAGGAAGTGGGTGGTGGCCTGCTGCGTGTGGTTGTGTGGAGGACCTCTGCATAGAATTAGCTTGTGGTAGCAGGTGAGCAATCGCACCGTGCGGCGAAACCAGTTTGAAAAACACGTAACATAAGCGGGTAGGCGGTGCTGCCAGCCACGCACATATGCAGTCCAGCCTTTAGCCAAGACACTGGGAGGATGCCCCCTAACAAGCATACGCCGTGTCAGGGAAGTCACCGCAGCTCTGAAGTCGGTGGTATTCTTACATATATGTTCGAACCTTGTTAGCTGTCCCGTGAAGACCCCTGCAGGTTGATGAGCCGGGGCATCAGAGGAAGCACTGGGATACCATATAACAGCGAATGTCCAGGCCTCAGCCTGATCAAACACACCAACGCAAAGTGAGCCGTCTGGCCGGACCATGATTCAGCCCTGAGGAAAAAACATGACCCATCTTGCTCCATACTAGTGTCTTTCCACTCAAGACAATACTGAGTAGGGGAGGGCGGAGGAGGAAGGACATGGGAGGCGGAGTTCTGACAGGGTTCTAAATAGTGACCGCTGGGGCAGCCCACTCTAGAATGGCACATGAGGCCAGACAGTGTGTGGGTTGCATAAGCTTTGAGGGGCAGTTGTTGTCTATGGTTAAGTGGCCACCTCTACAGACCGGGCAGGACCAGTTTGGGTGTGGCCTGTGGAAGCACCACATCCAATTCTCACAGTCACAGTTACTGCATCGAATGGCATGGCGTAGACATATGTCACAGGCTACATGGCTCCTACATCCTAGGAACACAGAGGCACGTCGACTGCAATCGTAGAGGCACCAGACCAGCATTTTGCCCCTCTGGAGTTTCTATTGGACATAAGAGGATGAGATCCAAAAAAATCTTTTTTTTTTTTTAGCCCAGGTTGTTGTAGAGGTGGGATACTAGACGGATGGCAGTCACCCACAGTACTCGGCCACTCGGTTGCCCAGATGAACCCCTCTGAAGACCCCACCCACCCTTCCTCTTATCTTTTTGCCCTGGCGCACCCCCACTCCCCCTGTCTTACCCTAGTGTTAACCACCAAAAATTCTTGAAAAGTAGCTATACTAATGGTTTAAGGGTTACTAGGCTTTGAGGATTTGGTATATTTTTTCCTTTATTTATTCCCCGCATTACTTTAGCTATCATTCGTTTTAGTCGATTAAGTGCAATTCTTACTTGGCTTTGTAGCATATCTGCAATCACGTGTACACGACGGTTTGCCTCTACAATTGCAGTCGACGTGCCTCTGTGTTCCTGGAATGTAGGAGTTGGAACGGCAATGCCTCTACAATTGCGGTCAACGTGCCTCTGTATTCCTAGCATGTAGGACCCATGTAGCCTGTGACATCTGTCTACGCCTTGCCATTCGAGGCAGTAACGGTGACTGTGAGAATTGGATGCGGTCCTTCCATAGGCCAGACCCAAACCGGTCCTGCCCGGTCTGTAGAGGTGGCCACTAACCATAGGCAACAACTGCTCCTCGAATCTTATGCAACCCACACACCGACTGGCCTTGTGTGCCATTCTAGGGTGGATCAACGTCTCTGCTGCTCCAATTGACTCTGGCCGTTGCAGTCTTCCTGCAATGTTATTGGCTGCTTTTACCATTTCTGCTGGGAGGCGGCTGAGTCAAATCCTCTTGGTGGGTAAATTGAGCCCTCTGATCCACTGCAATCTGGGTCTGATCCTCTGTGGGCGAAGCCTGGTCTGCATGTTTCACTCCCTGCAGATGCTGTTCTTGCTGGGGGAAGGAGTGAACCACCAGGGCCAGGCTACAATCCTCCCCGGTCGGAGCCTGGTCTGCATGTTCCAGTGGCTACGGCTCGTGACCTTTCTGAGGCAGCGGACTTCTGGAGCTGCTGTAACTTGGGCTCATCATGCTCAGCCGACTTCTGGAGCTGCTGTAACTTGGGCTCATCATGCTCAGCCTTCGACTGATTGCTTGCATCGGGTTATCGGTATATGTAATCGACTACCAGTAGCTTCAAGCATGGGTGAACCTGCATCTGCCCTAAAGTAGAATGAAATTCTGCGACATTTATGGTGAGCGATTGTTTTCCAGCAGGAGCGTCTGAGGTCCTGTACCAAATTTACTAAACTTGCCTGCTCCTCCTGCGCGTGATGGACCAGTGGCTTTTCTCTGCTCCATACATAGGGCTTGCAGTGTCAGGTGAGTTAACTGTTCCTGCTCAACCAGCTGAACCGAATTTATCAGTTCAAGCTGGGCTGGGGGGGGTTCTGGTGCATGGGCGTTTTCTCCTGGTGCTTGGGCGTTTTTTCCTGGTGCTTGGGCGTTTTTCTGGTGGCTGGGCGATTTTCTGTGGTGCCTGGGCGTTTTTTTTCCGGTGCCTGCAGTTGCCGCTGTTGGGTTGGATGCCGCTGTGATGTGAAATTCTTTTGCTGTCTTTTGCTGTTGGTCCAGTTCCTCGTGCCATTTAGAACCCGGCCGGCCATCGATCGTCTGCTTCTTGTGTAGCTTTTTTTCTCTTGATTGACCTTCATTACAGGGGGACAATGGGCATCCCTCCACTACTCGTTAAATGTTCAAAATGAGAATGAATCCTCCGCTAGAACATGGGAACACGCACCACCATTTTTTGTCTTTTCTGCATGAGGAGAGCAGTGGAGCGAGGCCCATTGTATCTTGGACTCTTCTATCCACTCCCAAAATAGTCGGTGCTTGTTTGCGGGTGCAGAGGAAGTTTTTTTTTTTTTGGGCAGACGAAGGGTTTTACCCGAAAAGCTCCAAGGTTGCTTTTAACCACTGGTGTGCATTTTCGGGGTTGGTGGATGCTTTTTCTGGTGACGAGTCATTGCGTGAACTGACGTTTCCCTCCTCCTTTCTGTGAACTGTGGCCTCGGCTGAGCTTGGCCGGTGTTGCCTCNTGCTTTTTCTGGTGACGAGTCATTGCGTGAACTGACGTTTCCCTCCTCCTTTCTGTGAACTGTGGCCTCGGCTGAGCTTGGCCGGTGTTGCCTCGCCCATCCCCGGACCGCCTTTGTATTCCCGGTTTATAAAAAATTCACTTTTCCACACACAAAAAAAAATAAAAAAGCGTTCGACGTCTTTAGCATATCACCTTTTCGACGGCAAACAGATGCACTACACCCAGGGCATCATGTGGGCTGAAAAAAAAATAAAAATAAAATAAAATCATGTGGGCTGTATGGTGCACCCCCGAACTGTCGACAAAGAGGCCTGAGTTCGAATCCCGATGCCGTCGGAGGATGAGATCAGAGAAGTAAAATAACTCTGAATTACCCCTCGGACTACAGGACTACACAAGGCCAGCCAGTCCAGGGGGGGTGTACCAACTGAGCTAGGCCAGTCAGTTCAATGATGATGATGTCTCAAGAGGCTGTGGCCCTTCAAAAAGGAAAAGAGAACAACTGGCCTAGCTCAGTTGGTACACCCCCCTCTGGACTTAACTGTTGAAATACAGACCCCTTCCCCCCCCCCCAGTTCGAACTCCACTGAAGTCAAATGTCACTAAACGACTACAATCTTGTCTTGAATTGAATTACCTAGGGCAATACCTTTCTCGGCCTTTTGGCTAAGATCAAGTGTAGTATCTGTTCTGATCAGTTTAATATGTGATGCGTGGTCCATCGGACCACAAAAAAAAAAAAAAAAAAAAAAAAAAAAAAAAAAAAAAAAAAAAACCTAGGGCCGGTCAGTTTGATGATCATATCTCAAGGCCATCGACCTTACCCCGATGATAAAATGGGAAATGAGAAGTGAAGTAGCCTTCACAATGAACAAGGCCAGGGCGACAGGTACAAAGTGTCTTTCCCGAATCCTCATCATCGGTCGGGCCTCGCTCCACAACTCTCGACATGCACAAAAGACAAAAATGATGGTGGTGTATCTTTCCATGTACTAGCTGATGATTCACTCTCGTTTCGCACATTTCGAGAGGAGTGGAGCGAGGCCCATCATCATCCACTACCTGTACGCCACCTACATGCCACCATATCCTGATCCAGTCCTCAGCCAGGCAGGCAGATATATAGAAACAACCACGTGTAAGCACGTGCAAGCACGTGCTGCTCCCCACGAGAAGACTGGAGCAAAAAAGTAAGGGGATAATCAGACTAGGACTTTTTTTTCCACAAAGCCCTGGACGTGATTGCAGTCGGATTCATGCAGGTCTCGCCGTAATGACAGTCCTGCTGTAATTGAGAAAAAGAGGGCCAACGATATGGAGTCCAAGCACGTGACATCAGAGAGTCTCCATAGAGGGCAGGAAGGGACCGCCGGAACGACTCCTAGCCCACCCTACGCTCCTCTCTCTTCTCCTCCCACCATTCTCAACCATAATGGATATAATTAATCTGCATTAGAGAAACTCCCTGCTTGGGCCAATCATACTCTGCCCTCTTCATCCCGAACTCTCGCATGCATTGAAGGAAAACCCTCCTCCCATACCCTCTGCCATTTTCTTCCCAAACTCTCGCGTGCATTGAAGTAAAACCCTCCTCCTCTCATACTCTGCCCTCTTTGTCCCGAACTCTCGTGTGAGGGAAAACCCTCCTCTCGTACTCTGCCTTCTTCCTCCCAAACACTCGCATGCATTGAAGGAAAACCCTCCTCTCATACTCTGCCCTCTTCGTCCCAAAACTCTTGCATGAAGGAAAACCCTATATCACGGACACGCGCCACAACAAAACCAAACGAAAAAATGAAATCTATCCTCAACACAACGAAGAACACCAACAGACCAGCCAAGAGCCATTGATTGCCGCGCATCGTTTACTCGCCGAGTACACTCCGAGAATCTGCCTTTCGGGAATCTGAGTTCTATCCGCCGAAGTAACCTTCCCTTCCCTGTTGCGCAGGGGTGTCCTTGTCTATCTAGAAGCGCAGGGGTGTCCTTGTCTATCTAGAAGCGCAGGGGTGTCCTTGTCTATCTAGAAGCGCAGGGGTGNGCGCAGGGGTGTCCTTGTCTATCTAGAAGCGCAGGGGTGTCCTTGTCTATCTAGAAGCGCAGGGGTGTCCTTGTCTATCTAGAAGCGCAGGGGTGTCCTTGTCTATCTAGAAGCATAGGGGTGTCCTTGTCTTATCTAGAAGCGCAGGACTAACTCTCTCCCGGAATGAATAGGTGTGACCCAATGGAGCGAGCGCTGAAGTAAATAGAACGACTCTCATTTTCTCATTTTGTGCCAGAAGATAAGGCAGATGGCAACGGACGTGTACAAATCCAGAGACAAGAGGAGCGAAGATGAAGATCATTTTTTTTATCCCTGCAAGGATCACAACTACCATAAAGTCCACAGGAGACTAATGAGAGGGGACAACCCTCAACCGGCAAGGAGTTGGAGGCTTGTTAACGGTACAAAAAAAAAAAAAAAAAAAAAAAAAGAGAGGACGAAAAAAAGAGCTTGCGTTCCTCCATCACTGAGCAAAGAAAGAAATACTTAAAGATGTGAAGGCTCGCGAGACTTCAGAATTGACAGCAGAAAACAGGGACACAGAAAAACTAGTTTCCACAAGGAATAGCGAGGCTCACAAATCAACTAGGCAAAGGAGAACCCCTCCTGGGACAAACGGGTGGGAAGAGGGAAACAAAATTGACAGGTACGTCGGTGTTATATTCTACGTCAACGAGGCTAAACCTCTCTCTCTCTCTCTCTCTCTCTCTCTCTCTCTCTCTCTCTCTCTCTCTCTCTCTCTCTCTCTCTCTCTCTCTCTCTCTCACCCCTCACCTCTTCGCCCGCGCGTTCCCCCATTTCCCGGGGAGTTCTTTTCCCCCTTTTTTTTTGTTTTTTTTTTTTCCGCTATCTATGCCACTATCCAGCCCGTACTGACTTCTGAATCTCGTCGTAAAGAACAAGCACGAGCGCCCCACCAGCGCCACGGAGGACATTCGACAACGCTCCCTTGAAGAAAGCCTTCGGTCCCTCATTCTTCATGATCTTCTTCATGCAGTCGATCGCACCGGAGTACATCTGCTCCCCCGATCCCGACTGCATCATCATCCGCCGCCGCACCGTATCGAACGGATACGGCACCATGCCGGCGCCAGCTGTGACAGCCTGTGCGATCGCCCACTTCTTCCACACTGGCGCGTTGTTTGGATCCTTGAGGAAAACGCTTTTGGCTGTGTCGAAGCCTCCGAAAAACGCTGCGCGGTACACAATGATACCTTGCACCGACACACCAAATCCTCGGTACAGTCCCTTCAACCCATCACTTCGATAGATGGTCGACAGGCAGTTCCCTAGGCCCGAAAATTGCCGATCCGCGCCTTTTCCAACATCCGTAGCAAGGCGGGTACGAGCGAAGTCAAGAGGATAGACGAAGAGCAACGAAGTGGCGCCGGCCGCCCCGCCCGACGCCAGATTTCCACCGAAAAATTTCCAAAACTCCTTCTTAGGATCGTAAGGGCAGAGGATCTGCTTGTACTTGTCCTTGAAGGCGAAGTTCAGGGCCTGCGTGGGGAAATACCTAATGACATTTGCGAGATTACCCCGCCAGAAAGAGAGGACTCCTTGCTCCGCCCCCACCCTCGAGAAACAGTTAACGATTCCAGTGTACCTTTTGTCGGGCGAGAGCTGCTTGTTGCTGCCCTGCGTCTGGAGCAACAGCTTCACACGCTCGATCGGCGCGACGGCAGTCTTGGAAATTCCACCGGACACCCCACCCGCCAACAAGTCGATGACGAAGGACTGGGCGGCGCTCATGTCCTTAGCTTTCCCTTCCTTGGGTGAAGCGATGAACGGCGCCATAGCCGGCGTGTTCAGGGGTTGACAGAGAGAGGACTCCATGATGGCGCTGGCCGCCGCGAAGCCGCGGAAACACGGCGCTGCCGCCGCATGGCTTCCACCAAGCAGGTAGAGATCTCGCCCACTTGGGGAAAACGCGGACGTGCCCACCGCCATCGAGCTGCCTCCCCCCAACTTAGACAGCATCCTGTCACCTTTCTCCGCTCGGCAAGCGCAGCGCCAACACCGTCGTCCTCCCCCCTCAATGGCTGGCTGGCACCTCCATTCGACGCCGCGGCTCCTCACCACGACAGCTCTCACTCACTGCCACCAAACAATCCCTCTCCCGCCGTTCCTATCCTTTTGCTAGATCCAGTGTATCCTTTTTTTTTTTTTTCCCTCTTGTCTACTTACTGTACACGTTCTTTTCCTTTTTCTTCAACCAAGCATCTCTGTGTAGAACCTCCATAAGAATCCAGTAGTTCACAACCCGCACACCACCTTCTTTCAAGTCAGATGCACCAGCATCCTAAACTGCTAGATCCCCTCACCAAGGATCATACATACTGTTTGCCCGTAGTTCATTCATTTATGGGTACAGTATATTGCTAAATCACCATGGTAGAAAGAAAAAAAGAAAAGAAATCACCCTGGTCAGCGGGGTAGTGCACAATCAATCCATTTGCTGCGAAACTTCCAGTCAGAACATCTGGTATATATTTGATGTATTACACCACCCTTTCCCTACGAAAGAGGGCTCAAAAAGGAATTTGCCAAATGCCCTTTGCCATCTGCCTAAATTACTCCACAGAGTTCTTGCATGAATGGAGCGAAACCAGAGCCAGTGGTCATCTTCTCAGACCTGTGTTTCACATCCCTTCGCTACAACAGGACTCAGATTAGGAGGAAGAGGAGGAAGAGGAGGAGGAGGAGAGAGGAGGAGGAGGCGGAAGCCGACTACCACAAGCAAGAAGAACATGGACTGCTGAGCACAGTTATGATGGCCAAAGGATCCTGGAACCCCTCCCTGACCGTCGACATGCTTTCCTCAGCAGCGGGTGATTCCAGGATAGTAGTGATCCGGACCTTGACACCAACGAGGTTACCGTAGTGGACAGCAGGGAAGGAGATGGCAAGCACCCAGTACCTCCCCATACTGAGGATCGCATACCGGTCCAGCACATTGCTGACCACTAGGCATCCCTGGAAGGATTTGAACTACCGGTAGCCCTCCCTGGGATGAGATTCACGCAGCACATTGCTGACCGCTAGGCATCCCTGGAAGCATTTGAAGTACCGGTAGCCCTCCCTGGGATGAGATTCACGCAGACAGATCAAGGGGAACGAGGGCCTCCTCGACTGCTCAGCCAATCAAGCAACACGAATGAGAATCAGGGTGGTAGGCAGCAATGAGGAAGGGCGGTGGGCCTCTGGAGCTGCCTCCCCGTTCAATGCCCGGCCTTTTGAAGCTGCCTCCTCGATCAATGCCGGGCCTTTTGACCCAGCGGAAGGGAAATGGGAAAAGCGAAAGCACATGAAAATCTGGCAGTAGAGTGGGAGGGGACTCCGGGCTGGCGGCCGTGTCGGTTGGCGGTACCTTAGTGCGCTAATGTGCGCTAAGGCGGCGGCGCTAACGCAGGGGAGCAAATGGTGATATCGGAATTACCGAGGTTACACCTCGGGAGTTAGCTGCCAGAGGCCTGTGACGCCCCAACCTCACCCGGCGCGACTTCCTGATCGGAGTGGGATGTGGGCCTGGAAGTGCGAAAAGGGGTGTGCCAAGGATTTTTGGGAAATTGGGGTGGAGTCCCAGGTCAGAACTGAGATCTCCTGTGGCGAGGGCTCAGGGACATAGGTGCAATGAGGCTAACGGGCGGGTTACTTTTGGTCTGATGGCGGTCGATGTCGTGCAGCATAAGGCAGATGGCATGCGCGGTGGATCGCAGGCCGTCCGATCCGTCCGTTCTAGTGATGGTTGTTCGAGAGAGGTCTGCTTGTGGGGGTTGCAACTTCTATGGGTCGGACCTCCGGGTGTGGACGAGTGGTGATTGTCGGCGCGCGTTATGGTTAGGCCCCGTAATTCCAGAGGCTCGGCGGTTGCCGCGCCGTCTGCAATTTCTGCACGGCGTATGGGGCCAATACGGGGCTATGGAATTCCACGGTACGACTGTGAGTTGGTGGTAGGGGAGGAGAAGATGGAAGGGAGGGAAGTTGGTGGTGATAACGACGAAGCCTGGGGATATGAAATATTGTGTGTTATAAGTAGTCGGGTAGTCGGGGCACCTCGGGTCGCTGGTTACGGCACGGTGAAAGTCCCTGGCGCATAGTCGGTTCTCGGTTAGACAGGGAAATTCCGGATATTTCAGCCTAAGATGTTCTTCCTCCCAGTGCTCTAAGTACTCCCGGTCCGCGATGCACGACATCTTACCATTACGGCGGAGCACTAAATTCTCATAAGATGGAAATTTCACTCTTACTCTGATACCGGAGGTGCCAAGATCGTTAGTGATCGCGAATCGCTCGTGGGTGGACACGTGTAGGCCGCGCTAATCCGATCGCGCTTACACGTGTGTACACGAGGTGATCGCACATGGGTCTGTTGGCTGATTTTCGTGCAAAAAGTGAGGTTACATGCAAATTGCCACGTGGCGTAGACAACCACCCAACCATCTAATCAGTCAGTGATCCTGCAGACAATCATTCCCGATCATGCAAAACGACATCGCACACATCAGACACCGTGACAACCTCAAATTCTTGTCGTGGCAACAGCAGATCAAAGCGACAAGCAGCGATGATGATTAGGCAAAAACGACAAGCATATCATTCAATTAGAACTCATCCATCCAATGTACACAAAAGAGAAGGGATCGAGACTGAATAAGACACCATATGAGGGACAACATTGAGACAAAGATGCTGGAGGAAAAATAAGGGTGAATTGTCCGAGCCGAAATCAAAACTTATATACAAAGGCAAAGAAAAAGACAAAGAAAATTGCAACTCCACGTCCATCCATCTCAACTCTCTCCCTTCCTCTCTCTCTGGTGCGGACAGTCCGTCGTCACGCACCAACCCACGAAGTTGTCACCCCGCTTAGTCCTCCTGTGCCCATCGGATTCGCGCGCGCGCTACAGTCCGTCGTAGCCCCACGCGTCAATCCCGCACATTCGGCACCAGCTCGTCGGGTCGCCCAACTCCCACTTCAACTCACCTCTTACTTCGCTCGTGAGCCGACCCTCACTGATCGCGCTACTCCGAGCATGTTTGCACGTGCATGTGCAAACACACACACACACACACACACACACACACACACACACACACACACACACACACACACACACGTACACAATTCCCCCCCTCCAACGTCGCGCTTTTACCAGTGGCTTTCCACGAGTGTGCACTTGTAGGACGTTTAAGTTCGATTTTTCCCCCTCCAATGCAACGTGGCGTGTTTAAATGTGTTTGAATGTGCACGAACGTGGTCCGAATGCACCTATTTGAACGTGAACACACATTCGTTGTGTTCATATAGGAACATAGATACACATACACATGGAAGGCATACGAATGACCATCATAAAGTGAATATACCATCACGAATAGAATAATATTCCCCTCCTCCTTCTCTATCTTTCTGTCATATATACACACACCCACCACTTACCATAGCCAATGACAACTATTGAATGTCCTCTTGTGCCATCCTAAAGTAGTATGCTCCATCGGTAAGTATTGAAAACCTTTTGAAGTTCTTCTTTCCTCTATTATATTTTTTGCCCCTCCACTTCTCTCCCTTACTCCTCTTTCCTTTGTCCTTCGCTTCTTATAGAACTGCTTCACCCCCTACCTCTTTTCTTTCTTCCTCTTCTTCTATACTACCAATAAATGTATACGAATGAACATGAGAACATACGATATATAAGTCAAAGATATGAAGAAAAATTATCAGGAGTATACTCTCCCCTTCAATAACATGCAAGTGAGTCGTTATGACATATGGGGATGTGGGTAGCTGACGATCAACCACAATCAATGTGGGCAGCCTTATGAGTGAGAGGCGATAAAAAAAAAGTTGAAAATTGAAGGGGGATAAAAAATACAATGAAGAAAGCCAAACAAAAAATAGTTAAAAAAATATATATAATGGATTTATTATACTCCAAGTTGTCTACTATAGAGGTAAAACTATTTCATTGTTGGACCAACTCATCTCAAATATATTTTAATATCAAAGAGGTAAAGTTACTTCGACCTTTGATCTATTCATCTATGTAGAACATAATCTGTTATGCTGTTGTAGTAGTAGTAGTAAGAGTTCACAAGCAGCACTAGTAATTGTGGTAGTATTAGTAATACCAACAATAAGGGTACTTATAGTAGTTGTAATAGTAATAGTAGCATTACTGTTAGTTGTAGTAATAGCAATAACGAAAAAAAAAAAAAAATAGTATTGATAATACTAGTAACAATATTAATAGTAGCAGTAGTAGAAGTAGCAATAGTCATTTGTAGTAGCAAAGGTACTCTTGAATTTTGGACTTCTGAAAGTCAAATGTCTCTGGAGCTGGACTAGCCTCCCTTATGACCCCCTTCCACAGCTATGAGGGGCCAAGTGTTTTATCAACGGTCCAAAAAATGCGTCGGGTTCGTATAAATCGTTCGAAAATACACATGTTCGTTGGATATGTACGGATGACGTAAACAACTAAAATCGGCCCAAATGTCCGGGTTGGTTACATAGACTATAACATGTAACTACTAGGCCGAGATCTACCACTACTGTACTTGCGGAGTTTGTGAGTATGGTATGAGACCATTGTGAAGTGTGACCATTGTTGTTTCGTATAGTTCCAAATTAGCATAATTGCCAACGCCACCCCAACCAATAAATCAATCAATTAGTCAATCAACAAATATATACGAAAATGTTTTTAAAAAAATGAAAGGTTTTTCGTTTTTTTCTGAAGTGTAGGTACTCTGAAATTTTGACCCTCCAGAGATCGAATGTCTCTGAAGTTGTACTAGCCTCCCCTATGAACCCCCCGGCAACTATGAGGGGCCAAGTGCTTTATCAAGGGTCAAAAAAATGTGTCGGGCTCGTACAACTCATTGGAAAAAATACATGTTCGTTGCATATGTACGAAGGACTCAGACAACTAAAATCGGCCTAGATGTCTGGGTTGACTACATAGACTATAACATGTAACTACTAGACCGAGATCCACCACTACTATACTTACGGAGTTGGTGAGTATGACATGAGACTATTGTGAAGTGTGTCCATTGTTGTTTCGTACTCGTTCCA